TATATAGTGGGGTCCTGGTGTGGTGCTGCAGGTTAATACACTGGAATACAAGGTCATTTGAACTGCAAGGTTGGCAGTTCATGCTCACCAATTACGCCTCAGAAACCCTATATAGAGTCACTATGAGTTGGAACTGACTCCAAGACATATAACCAACCAACTATTATATATATATAATTGCTGTTAATTGCTGTTGAGTTGGTAAATCTTTATAGGAGCAGAAAACCTCATCTTTCGCCTGTGGAACAGCTGGTAGCTTTGAACTGTTGTCCTGGAGGTTAGCAACCCAACTCATAACCCCTATGTTACCAGAGTTTCTTTATATATGTACATAAACTTGGGTGAAGGGAAAGATAATACACAAGAAGTGGGAGGTCAGCACAAAATGATATATATGCAAGCTGAACAGGTGTGAGAAGGCAAATAGAACTAGATTATTGCTATTACTGTTATTGTAGGATTGTGTATGCACTAGTATTTACCTCTGTTGCCTTTAACTCTGTGCTTTTCCCAGTATCTCCCTTCCCTTGATAATTTTGTGCTGACCTCTCCTTTATTGTGTATTACCATTCCCTTCACCCAAGTTAATATGTGTCTTCCCTCTAGTTAATGATTTACCCTCTCCTCATTTTCTACCCTTGGTAACCCTCAAAGACTGTTTTTTTTTTTTTTTTCTGTTCACAACCTTTTCTTGACTTTTTATAATAGTGGTCTCATCCAGTATTTGTCATTTTACTACATTGTCTTATTTCTTTCAGCATAATGTTCTCCAAGTTCATTCATGTTATGAGGTGTGCTGCAGATTCATCATTATTCTTTAACATTGTTGAATGGCCCATAGTTTGCTTATCCATTTATCTGCTGATGAGCACTTAGGTTGTTTCCATCTTTTTGCTCTTGTGAATAATGCTGTGATGAACATGTTGTTGTTAACTGCTGTCAAGTTGATTCTGACCCATAGCCACCCTGAACAGGGTTTCAAAGGAACAGCTGGTGAGCTTGAACCGTCGACCTTACAGTTCAAACGACTTTGCAGTCCAGCGCATTAACTCATGGCACTACACCAGGACAGGTGATGAACATAACCGTGCATGTACCTGTTCGAGTCACAGCTTTTATTTTTCTAGGATATACACCTAGTCATGGGATTGCTGGGTCATATGGATTCTATTTCCAACTTAAGGACGCATCGTATCATTTTTCAGAGTGGTTGCACCATTTTACACCACAGTGGTTGCAGAGTGGTCCCACTAAGAATGTATGAAGGTTCCAGTCTCTTCCCAACCTTGCCAGAAATTGTTGTTTTGGTTTTTTTTTTACTTTGTTATTAATGCTTGGGTGAGATGATGCCTCATTTGCAATTTTTATTTGAATATTTTTAATGGCTAATGATTACAAGCATTTGTTGATGTGCTTGTTGGCTGCCTGAATATCTTCTTTGATGAAGTGTGTGTTCACATTCTCTGCCCATTTTTAAATTGGATTATTTGTCTTTTTTGTTGTTGAGGTGTTGAAGTTTTAAATATAAATTTGAGAGATTAGACCCTTGTCAAATGTCTTTGCCAAAAAATTTCCCCATTCTTTAGGGTTGGATTTTACTCTTTTGTTTAAGTCTTTTGATGTACATAAGTGTGGAATTTTATGAGGTCCTAGTCATTTAGTTTTAAGTGCTCTTCACTTTCAGCAAGCAAGATTGTATTATCTGCATATTGCAGGTTGTTAATGAGTCTTCCTCTAATCCTGATGCCATGTTTTTCTTCATATAACCCAGCTTCTTGGATGATTTGCTCAGCAGACAGGTTGAATAAGTATGGTGAAAGAATGCAACACTGTCGCACACCTTTAAAAATTTTTTAAAACATTCAGTGTTCTCATGTTCTGTTGGAATAACTGCCTCCTGGTTCATGTACAGATTCCTCATGAGCACAATTAAGTGTTCTGGAGCACTCATACTTCACAACGTTGTCATAGCTTGTCATGATCCACACAATCGAAAGCCTTTGCGTAGTCAATAAAGCACAGGTAAACATCTTTCTGATATTCTCTGCTTTCAGCCAAGATCCATTGGATATCAGCAATGATATCCCTCATTCCACGGCCTCTTCTGAATCCGGCTTGACCCTCTGGAAATTCTTTGTCAATGTATGCTTGCAACTGTTTCTATATTACCTTTAGTAAAACTTTACTCGCATGGGATAGCAAAGAGATGTCCGATGATTTCCGCATCCGTTGGGTCACATCTCTATGGAATGGGCACAAATACAGATTACTGATGAAGCTCAAAGAGCACAGCCTTTGGTATGGATTACATCTCAATGTAAAGAAAACAAAAATACTCACCATTGGACCAATAAATAGTATGCTTATCAATGGAGAAAAGATTGAAGTTGTCAAGGATTTTATTCTTCTTGAATCAACTATCAACACTCAGGAAACAGCAGTCAAGAAATCAAATGACTTATTGCATTAGGCACATCTGCTGCACAAGACCTTTTTAACGTGTTGAAGAGCAAAGATTTCAGTTTGTGGATTAAGGTGTGCCTGACCCAAGCCATGGTATTTTCAATAACCTCATATGCATGTGAAAGCTGGACAGTTAATAAGGAAGACAGTAGAAGAATTGATGCCTTTGAGTTATGGTGTTGGAGGAGAATATTGAAAGTGTCATGGGCTACCAAAAGAACCTACAGATCTGTGTTAGAAGAAATGCAGCTAGAGTACTCCTTGGAGGCCAGGATGGCCAAACTGCATCTCTCATTCTTTAGACATATTGTCAGGAGGAACCAGTCACT